GGAAGGTTGTGAGTTTCATTATTGCTATACTGAACCCTGAGTGACTCATTTCCTCCCCACTACCCCTCTGCAAGGTATGTTCAGTTGTCTACAGATGGGCATTGGGTCCCCATCACGTGCTACCCTCATTCACGATTATATGATTCCGCCCCCCCCCCCAACCCCCGCCTTTGGTGCTTGAAGCCTGGGCCCTTCGGCCCTTCATGATCACACATGTTGGTGTGCTGCTTCCATGTGGGCTTTGCTGCTTCTGGGCTAGATGGCTACTTGTTTACTTTCAAGCCTTTAAGTCCCCAGATGCTATGGGTCTTGATAGCCAGGCACCATGATGGTTTTTGTTCTTTGGTGTCTGCTACCTGATCCCTTCAACACCTCGTGTTCACACAGGCTTGTGTGCTTCTTTTCTGTGGGCTTTGTTGCTTCTGAGCTAGATGGCTGCTTGTTTGTCTTCAATCCTTTAAGACCCCAGACACTATATCTTTTGATAGCCAGGCACCATCAGCTTTCTTCACGACATTTGTTTATGCACACGTCTGTCTTCAGCGATCATGTTGGGAAGGTGGGTATCATGAAATGCTTAACTGAGCAAGGGCCTCTTGTATTAAGGGAATGCGCATGAGGAGGCCCAATGTCCACCTGCCACCCTACTACTAAACCTATAAATATGTGCACCTAGGTCCATTTCCCCCATAATCTTAAATATATTTACATATGTACGTGTCTGTATTTAGGCTGAGTTTGAAGCAAATTTTTACTTCCCCTTGTACTCTATCATTTTCCTTTTATTCAATTCCTTGCATTGTGGCTTCTGCCTCCATTTTCTGCTGATACAGATCTTATTATGGGGATCCATGACATCCATGCTGCCAAATTCAACATGACCTTCTCTGCCCTGACTTTATAGGAAATCTTTTTCCATTGGAGGCTGTTGACCACTTCTCCTCCTTGAAAGTCTTTCTCCCCTTGGATTCCTTCCATGGCATAACTCTCTGGAGTCTCCTCTTACCCTTCTGGTCCTTCTCAACTTTCTTCTTGACCGTCTCTTCCTCTGCTGGTTCCCTCAGTGTTGGCGTTTCCAAGTTTAATCCTCAGCTCTCCTGTTATGCTAGTCTCTTTCTCAGTTATGCATTAGAAACAAGCCCTGTTGAAGAAGGGTGTTAAGGAAGTCCTTGCTAGGTCTAGCAACTGACTTATAAACTTCATTTCTTACAATATGTGGGGAAACTTTGCTCCTTACAAATTTTCCAATGGAAAATAACCAACTAGAAGAAAAGGGATTGAGTAAATAGAACACAAGAAAAATTACAATATAAAGCCATATTTATATGTGGTTGGTGGTGAAGACTGATTTTGGTGCAAAAGTGTATTTGCCATTTTTAATAGGGATGAAAAGGGTACTTTTCCTGGAGGGGGCTGAGCCCCAGATTCGTAGTTATGCTGCCCTCATGGGCCTGATGGTACTGGAAGGTAACTTCAAGGTCAGTGGTTCAAACCCACCAGTCACTCTGAGGGAGAAAGATGAGTACCTGCTCCTATGAAGATTTACAGCCTGGGAAACCCAATATAGGGTCACCACAAATTGGAATCAACTTGATGGGAGGGAGTTGGTGGGGGTCAAACTAAATAGCATAACACCATTCCTCCTGGAAACAGTGACTCTGGATCGATTTGTCTCCAAGGAAGCCCCATCAATGGCCATTGAGTCGATTCCAACTCCTCTTTCTCCTTTGGAGCAGCTGGTGAGCTTGAACTGTTGATCTTGCCGTCCAATGCTTCTTCAAGGTAGAGGGACCCACAATTGGCTCTTAGATTATTTGTTGCTCCCACACTATAAAGAATATCAGAAGGGAAAGGGAGAGCAATAGAGAAAGGATGGGTAAAGGGCATAGCCTACTGGTCAGGAGTTTTTAAAAACCCAAGAGGAGATTAGGCATTCAAGAACACTGTAGGCATATAAAAAAATGAGAAGGAAGGTGTACCAGTGAACTATAGACATTATTTTTTGCATCCTAGTTAGACCCTATATCTTACCTCATGCTTCTGCCCATCTGAAGACATTTTACTGAAAATTATAGCCTTGTTGCTCAATGGGGCTGAGAAAACAAGTATTCAGTTGAGCTAACAGTCAATTGATAGTATTTCTGGATGGTTTTTCATTCACTTAAGCAAAAACATGGAAGTCATCCTTTTCTTTACACTTCCATAGTCAGTCACTCAATTGATCGATGACTTCCGTAAATTCTCACCTTCTGACTATTTCTTAAATATGTGCACTTCTTTCTATCCCGACTCTCACCACGCTAGTCCAAGCCATAGTTATCTACCTCCTAGACTGTCTCAACTGCTCCATAATTGGCCTCCATACTTCCAATTGTGCCTGCTTCTGATCTCTTCTTCACTCAGCAGTCAAAGGGGATCTTATAAAATGCAGGGGTGAACACATCACCCTTGCTGGAAATCCTTCAGTGGGTTTCCATTGTCCTTAAAATAGAAGTCCCTTTATTTTAAAACACAAAACCAAAGCAAACCCTTTGCCAGAAATGTAGGTCCACTTTGATTTGTACCTATCCATCTGTTATAGTTAGCATTTGTGCCAACTTGGCTGGACCAGGATTCTCAATGGTTTGGTAGTTAAGATCTAGTAATCCCGCATGATTTAACCTAGCACAATGTAATCAAGTCCATAATGGGATCTACTAGGAACAGAACATCAGTTGTAAGACTATTAGAGTGGGCTGCAACACCCTTACTCAGGTCACAGTACTGATGCAGTCACTTGAAAGATTTCTGCTGGAGTGTGCCTAGTTTTCTATATAAGTAGACACTGTTGGAACTCATGTTTGCATTTTGTGGGGTCCAGATCCTGCATCTGACTCCTCAACATCTGGCTCTTTGCATATGAGTCAATGGCTTGCCATATTGCCTGCTGATCCTGGAAGCCATCAGAGGCCTGCCATCTGACCTGCTGATCTTGGATTCATGACCTCTGTAACCATCAGCTTGTGGCCTTCCTGCCAATCTTGAGTTTGTCAGCTACTCAAGTTGGGAGAAGCCTGCAGCTTGACATCTGACCCACAGACACACAACTTGCCTGGACTTGGACTTGACTATTTCTACAACTGTGTGAGCTATTTTCTTGATATACATTTCTCTCGACATATACTTAAATAAACATCACTATTTTGCTTCTCTAGACAAGCCAGCCTAAGACACCACCTGATCTGCTCATCCTATGTCATCACTGTGCATCATCACACCCTTACTGGCCTTCTTGTTTTACTCCTTAGGCATGGAGTAATAGCCTCCTTTGCTGGTTGATCCCTCATTCTTCACCTCACCACCCTCACTTAAGTATCACTTCCTAGTGAAAACACTCCAGATCTCCCAGGGCCAAAGTAAGCCCACTTACATAACACTTAGTATATTTCCTTTTAGAGACTTGTCACATTTCTAATGGCAGGTTGAACATCTATTTTCCCTGTTGAATCTCAAATTTCAAGCAGGCAAGAACAAGAGTTTGTTTTGGGGATGTGTTTCAAGTACCAAGGACAGTGCCTTATATGCTAAGAAATACCCTTGAAGAGAGCCAGTGACTGGGCCCCCTTTTTTCTGAGGAACAATTCCCACTCCATTTTCTTCAGGACCCAGGTCAGATGTTATCGCTTCCAAGTTGGATATCAAACAGATCAAATTCATCTTTTAATCCTAAGGGCCTAGTTTGGGACCATGGATTGTTAATTGTTGACTTGATGAATGTATGAAAGTTCATTATAGGGTTCTGTCTACTGGTGTATACATTTGTGATTTTCCATGTCAAAAGGGTGAAGTATTTATGACCTCAAGTCCAGTGAAGGTATAGTCAAAGATGACCTTGAAGTTTCTAGCCTGGAGAAATGGATAGCCTTTCCATTCATGGACTATGTGTGTTGGAAAAGGTTCTCTTGGCCTCAGTGAAACACTGTAGATGAATAAAATAGCATGAAATAATGAATTCTGGTTTGAACATCTTTAATATTAGATGGTCGGAGAACATCTCCAGTCTGTTGCTCAACACTTTAGCAGGTTCAGTAAATTAAGATCTGCTTCAGACACAATAGTCTTTCTTCACCTGGCAACAGAGAAAGGAGAGTCAAGAACAGGAGGAACATATGGAATGCATGCCTAATCCGTGAACAACTGCTGCTTCTTTTGGCACGAGACAAAAAACACTGGAGGGTACCTAACTAACACTGAACATTTTGATCAAAGATTCCATAGGAGAATCCTGATCAAAAGGGGGATGGTGCAGAACAGAATTAAGAATTCTTACAGACTTCTTGGAACTATGGAAGGTTAGTGAATTCCTGAACCGATTGCCCTGAGATTATCTTTACACCTTATACCAAAAATATCCCCTTTAGCATTCTTAAAGCAATTAAGTTTAGCTTACCTAGTACACAAAAGTCTGCCCTGAGCATTCTTGGTCTTTTAAGAACTATCTATATGGGATCAAATTGATAACAGAAGCTGGGAAGATTAGGGGTCAGCAAGTTTGTGTTAGCGAGGCAGGATCAACTCAGAAAAGGAGGGTGAGGACGGTGGCACAACTTGCCACCATCACTGTGGTCAGTGCCACTGAACTGTCATTGTGGACACTGTTGAAGTGGTATTATGTTTTCCTTCGCAACAACAACAACAACAAATACAATTTAGGATGGGAAAACCCAAACGGAAAGAACCTGCCTGAGAGCAATGAGCCTTTTAGAGAAAGTCTGGATGGGAACGTTCCCCTCACACGGTTGGAGGCCTCTGGGATCTCTCCCACCAGCTAGGGGACTGGCAACAAATCAGCAACCACATCCTTCCCTCCTTCTGGCTTTTCACCTTCTCCCTCTCCTTGACTTTCTTCCCTCTTGCGGGGTTTCTACCAGGGAGAGCGCTGAGTGGGTGCCCCATTGTCTTTCAAGGATAGTGAAGAAGACACCGCTGGGTGCGTCTCATTTCCCCCGCTTTGTGTGACTGCGGGCAAGTTGCTTTACCTTTCGGAAGCTCAGCAGCTGCCCCTGGGGGGTGAAAAAAATGAGGATAATAATAGCAGCGCCTTCAGAGGGCTGCTGTGAGGATGAGCGCACGTCAAGGGTTTAGCACAGAGACGGCACGGGGTAAGTGGTCACTACCGACGAGCCATCACTGTCCCTAACAGGGTGTCCTCCTTGCCTCCGCACAGGGCGCCAGGGAGGGGAGCTGCCCGGGCAGCGCAGCGCGGGGCGCCTCCTGCGAGCCCCTCCCGGCGGCGCCAGCGCGCCCCCCGCAGCTCCCCTCCAGCCTCGGGCGCGGGGCTCTGCAGGCTGCGGGGCAGGGCCCTGCGGGGCGCGCACGGTGAGTCGGGGGAATCCTCCTGGAAGGGGGTGCCCGGCGGGGCTGGGGTCCGGGAGGCTGGGCAGAGCCCCGTGTCCCGGGGAGCAGAGTGCAGGGCTGTCCCCCGGCAAGGGAGGGCCGGGGCCTGGCGACTTCGGGGGGCCCAGGACCCCGGAGGGCGGGGAGCCGGGTGCATCTGCCTTCCCGCAGGCTGCGGCAAGGGCCGCCCTCGAGGGGCTCGCGCCC